AGCAAAACAAACCATTGGGCAAAAAATTTTGATTTTGTAATTTTATAAAAATTGAATTCCTATTACTCTAATTCTTCAAGAAATTGAGTTTTTAAAAAAAAATTTTTTTTTGCCCAATGGCTTGTTTTGCTGTGGGCGTCCCCATATAATAACCAGGATGTAAAAGACAAGAGAGAATTAATATTGGTTGTTCTCAGTCATGCCATCAATGTTCCAAATGCAATACAATTCAAGTACTAAGCTGTAAATCATCATAATTTTTCCAAAATTGAATAAGATAAGCCAAACTTAAGATAACTTGATGTAGTCGAGCTTTGTTTGATTGCAATTTGTTTAAAATAATGCAATAAGGTTGAAAAATATTAAGCAAATTGTGAAGGTTGGTCTAAAAATTTGCTGAACTTATAGTTTTGTATATTTCACATTTTAATTTCGGCTCCATTCTAGCACGATAAGATGTTTTTATGATGGGTGGTTTGAATTTAATAGCAAGAATCTAATAAAATAATAAAATAGCTTTTTATATCTGAATATTAAATTTATTAATAAAAAAATAACAAAATATTATATTGAATTACTTGTAGTGCTTTTTGTGATCTTAGAAGACTTAAACAAACATAGTAATAACTATTCTATCTTGTTTCTCCAGGAGCATTAATTATGAAATATTTTCTATATTGAGCAAATTGCTTATCTTTTAACTTTGCTAAAAAAAATTTATGATTTGGATTTCTAAAATAAGTAGCAAGACGGACCGCCTGATCTATAGTTTTTTTAAAATCAATAGATTTTTTAAAGATTTCGCCAATACACAAATTTATTTGATGTGCGTAACAAGGTAAAAATATAATTGATTTGTTTATAATTCTCAATCGATGTCTATAAAAAAAAGCTAATTAACCTTTTTATTCATATTAAATAAAAAAATGATAAAATATACCTAGTAGCAGCATATGCTTCTGCACTATCTGTTACAACAGCAATAGCTTTTATTGATTGTGCACTTAATTCAGTAAATATTAAATTGATTTTTTCAATTACATCTACATATGTTTCACATTCCAAACTAATATCTATTGCCTTCCAAACATATGGTCTACCTTCTGATGTGATTATAACTGCACCTAATAAATGCTTATTGCGAACATTAGTCTAACCATCAAACGTAAGTGTGATGCTAATTGGATCTTCTTTCAAAGTAGATAACATTGTTTTTTCAGATTCTTTAGTTGCATCATTCAGAACTCAACCACCAAGTACATGCCAGTCTGAAAGCTTAAGAAGTGAGTGAAAAAATTCAAATAATTCAATTGCTTCTGGTTTATTAACCCAATACAGTGCCTACCTACAAGAGATTGTAAGATGTAAAATAAGCAGATGAAATTTTTTTACATCTTGAGGCAACAAAGGTTTAACAATATAATCATTTATTGGTCTATAAGAAGAAGACTGTGTGATTTTTGCGGGTTCTATAAATTAAAAATAAATATATGAATGAATAAACGAATAAATAAATAAATAAGTAAATAAATGAATAAATAAATAAGTGAATAAATGAATAA